GTGTGGGATCGTGTGGGAGCATGTGGGATCGTGTGTGCTGGGGAGAAGGAAACATGCTCAGAGTTGGCCAGTCTAACTGAAACATGCTTAATGTCCCTTGCACACTCTGACCCCTCTCCTCTCCTGCAAATGCAGGTATAAGGCACATGTAAGTAGTTCGAGACTAACAGCATCCAGAATGAGAGGCTACAGTGAATCATAAGGAAAAGCTCTTAAGGTGGACAGCTTAGAAGGTTTTTAAAATGGCTTCTAAATTAGAGAGAAAAATAATTTGTGTACATCTATGATTTAGCAAAGGGATCTAATTATGTTTCAGGTAATGTGGTAACAGGTGAGGACCAAGCTCTCGATTATGTTCAGAACGCAATGCCCTCCACCTATTTCAGCATTTGTAACATGTCAGGAAGACGATGATGGTCAGTGTGTATGACTGTTATGAAGAAGGAAGGGATGGAGAATTACAGAAGGCATTGGACAGGAAGGATATATGGACTGGGTGTGGATGGAAAATCAGTCAAGGCAGAGGAGGAAAAATGTAAACATCTCAAACCCAGCCAACATACAGAAGGCAGCAGGACAAGATGATTCTTTTATGACTTATTTTGCCCTGCTGTCAATTTGACAAATTCTACAATAGTCAAAAATGAGGCTGAGAGATGCTGGCAGAATTTATTTTTGATCGATACTTCAATATTGAAGCTAGAAAGGAACACTGGTTTTAAGAACAGTTCTCTGAATTTGGTGAAATAGAGTTCACATTGGCACCGTATTAAATAGGGTATACATATCTCCTGATAAAATATTTTCTCTTTTCTCTGTGTCTCATTTTGACCACATATGACAAATGGATAAATATGATTTCTAAGTACCACTTAAAAAAATAATAATTCATATATTCAAGTTCTCAGTGATAATATGGCACACAGTCACAAAACACTAAAATTTAAATGCATAACTTTACAAATATGCAATTGTGTTTAAATAATACTATGAAAACAAAGATTTCCAAGAAACCACGAAGTAAAAACTTGGAGCCGTATCCTACTGTCACCCCATATCGCTCTCCTAAAATCCAAGTTTTATAAATTTGCCACTTAATCTTGTTTATACATAAAGTATATTATATCATACTCATATTACACATCTCCAATTCAGTGATTTCAGATAAAATCTGTTCTAATTTGTTGGTGCGATACACAGGATCCATTTATGGAAATGGAAGACAAAATTAAAACCTTTATCTATTAATTTACACCGCCAGTGCATTTTGTCATTCTGAAATATCAGTGACTAGAGGTTGCTGGCTGGTTTGATTCATCGGTCTTTGGGAGCTTCAAAATACATTTTATGTCACACCTTTACAGTGTCTGGCTCATTTAAGTGGAATAAATATTTCAGCATGTTTCAGATAAAATGCAATGTAGACCTAATTGTCTGGTATGGCTATTATTGGGCACAGTACATAGCTCAGGAACAGCTGCGAATGCCAGCCCTGCTACGTGAGTCTTTAGCTTTTCGTGCATGTTTGCAAACTCCCAGGCAGTGGAAAATGTAATGCAGGATGAATCACCCATTGTCTACTTTTTAACTATTAGACAACTGCTGGTGTGGCCTGTTTGGCTTAGGAAACAATTTTTATGGTAAGGGTTAGACTGTAATTCACTGGAATTTTAATACTAATATTTAAGTTATGGCACTGATCGTCTTGCAGCCAATGTTGGGGGAAGTTACCGACAAAAGTAATCCATTACAGGCAGAGGTGGAAAGTTCAGGTCCAGAAAGGAGAAATCCAGGCCAAGGTTTTGTTTCAACCAACCAGCTGAATACTCTGTGACTGTGCCTCTTTATGCTCAACTGATTGGTTGGACCTGAATTTTCCACCTCTGTAATGGATTACTTTTGTGAGTAACCCCCCCCAACACTGCAGCATTTCTTTCTGACCTGGAGGGGCATATTTTTAAGATGGATGCTTCAAACCACAGAGCTCAGTGCTGATGAGCATTGCAGTGGTGATTATCCATACACCATGGCTGAATTAAAGCCCAGATGAAGTTTATTGGTATGCTCAGTCATGAATATTCTGGAACAGTGCCTTGAACAATGTGTTCTTCATCAGTCAGGCGTCAGTTTGGATTACGTCCACATCCCTTCTTCAGAATTCCTGACACTGGGAGCCGTGCTGCACATCACTGACTGTGTGTGGCATTTTGCAGTCATCATGCTGCCTCGAAGCAGTGTAAAAATTTTGTAGCAAAATAAATACATTATTGTAACACAAGAAGAATTACTTAATTTCCAATGTCTAATGTCACCCTTTACTGTCCTAATATTGTTTTGTGTATTTTTAATTAAATATGAAGCAGCTGAAAGTATGACGTTATGGTGATGTTAGAGATCAAACTACTGTATGTGGAAGCAATTAAATACTCTGAGATGGCACTTCTATTCATCTAAAATACATTTTAAGTAGTGTTCTAAGCACACTACTTTTTTTTACGAAAAATCTGTCATATATGTTGCAATTTTATTTTTAAATCACTCAACTGAATGTAACTTATTCATTTCTGTAATTTATCCTGTAAATCTAAATGGGCGGAGTTGGCTCAGTGGGAGTTGATGCTCTGCATGTGACTGGAAGTGATGTCACCATTGGGCCCTTGAGTAAGACCCCTAACCCCCGATTTCTCCAGGGACTGTCTGACTCAATCACTTTGGATACAAGCATCTGTTCATCATTTCATAAGCAATATTTTAAAAGAGGTTTGACACACACCATACCTTAGAATTGTATAAGATGAGCAAAGCTAACCATATTATCCTTAGCAGTGCTGTCTCTGTGCTTCACTGCCAGCGACGTTCTCTGTGCTTCACCGCCTGCAACACTGTCTGTGCTTCACCGCCTGCAACGTTCTCTGTGCTTCACCCCCAGGGTATGACTTCCCAGCAGTGCTGCGCTGGTTTGCCGAACGTGTGGACCGCATCATCCTTCTCTTTGATGCCCACAAGCTGGAGATATCCGATGAGTTTTCTGAGGCCATCGAGGCATTGCGCGGCAATGAGGACAAGCTGAGAGTCGTCCTGAACAAGGCCGACATGGTGGGCACCCAGCAGCTGATGCGGGTGTACGGCGCCCTCATGTGGTCACTGGGCAAAGTGTTTGGGACCCCTGAGGTGCTGCGGGTTTATATCGGTTCTTTCTGGTCAGAGCCGTTGATGATACCAGACAACCGGAGGCTATTTGAGCTAGAGGAGGAGGATCTTTTTGCAGACATTCAGAGCTTGCCTCGAAATTCTGCTCTGCGCAAACTCAATGACTTGGTCAAGAGGGCTCGTCTGGTCAGGGTGAGTATTCTACATATTTACAAATAGATATACAGTGATCCCCTGCTATATCACAGTTCAGCTATCGCACCCCTGCTATATCGCCGTTCAGCTATCGCGCCCCTGCTATATCGCCGTTCAGCTATCGCACCCCTGCTATATCGCCGTTCAGCTATCGCGCCCCCGCTATATCGCTGTTCAGCTATCACACCCCTGCTATATCACAGTTCAGCTATCGCGCCCCCGCTATATCGCCGTTCTACTATCGCGCCCCCGCTATATCGCCGTTCAGCTATCGCGCCCCCGCTATATCGCCGCTCAGCTATCGCGCCCCCGCTATATCGCAGATTTTTCTCCGATGCATCACAGTTCTCTGCGTATCGTGTACCTTGCTTATGGTGGTGTTTTAATAAGTTTACATGTGTTTAAAGCGTGTGGGAGGGGAATTTTAAGGCTTAAACTATTAAAAAAAATATATTATTTATATGGACTTCCTATATTGCGGATTTACACCTTTAGCTGATGGGTCTGTAACGTAACTTCTGCGATAGGTGGGGGATCATTTTATTTAAATAAAGCTTTTCGGTATTTAGGGAACTTGAGTGCTAGGCCCTAAAGCAGAATTCAGAAGTTAGGTAGAGGTTACTGAAGAAAAAAAAAACAACTATCCATGGTCATTTTTGTCAGTGATTATACTAGTAACCTTGTACCTCTCAGTAAAATGAAACCTGAATAATATTCCTGACAGAACAATGGAAAAAAAAGTCTTAATTTATGGTATTGCAAGTATTAATATTATAAGACAATACAGATAATTAGCCAAAATTATGTCTATTTAGGAAACAAATGGATAAGAATATTGATATTGTGATGCAATTCTAGTGTCTTATAAAAGTGTCTCTCTACCTGCTCTTCTGTAAACCCCAGAGGATCCATGTCTCTGTTCTCTCCCTGCTCCTGGCAAAAACACGGGCCGTCTGGGGGTCCCTGAGCACTGGGCTGAGGGACGCTGCCTTATAAGATTACAAGCAGATTGGGTTCCTCTAAAAAATACTAAGTTTCCTCTCAAATTGCCCCCCCCCCCCGTCAGGTTCATGGCCACATAATCGGCCACCTGAAGCAGGAGATGCCCTCAGTTTTTGGGAAGGACAATAAGAAGAAGAACTTGATCCACCAGCTGCCTGTCATCTTCTCGAAGATCCAGCTGCAGTATAACATTTCCTCGGGAGATTTCCCGGATTGTGCCAAGATGCAAGTAAGCATATGCATTAGGTCACAGGAGATGTTTTACGTGATTTGATGGGGAATTTACATTTTGCCGAATGTTTTACTGATGAAGTTTAAATATATTAGTAGTTTTTGAAATTTATGTTAATATTCCATTTCTTAATCCAGTGTTTCCCTACCCAGTCCTCGGGGAACCCCGGACAGTCCACTTTGAGAGGAAGCAAAAACATGGACTGTCCGGGGTTCCCCGAGGACTGGGTTTGGAAATACTGCCTTAATCAACTGGTAAATTGAATTAGTCACAGTTTAGTATTGATGGATCATTTCCATTTTACTATATTCTCAGTCATTGGTGTGAATTTTCAACTTAATGGGATGCGAGTATTAAAACCCCTGATTTTAAAATTCTTTGCGCTTTGAGCAGGTTCCTGTCTTGTAGCGATGCTTCTAAAACTCATCTGATTCTTCTGCAGGACAAACTTTTGGTGCATGATTTCACGAAATTCAAGTCCCTAAAGCCCAATTTAATGGCTGCCTTGGATGAGCTGCTGTCTACAGATATTGCCAAGCTGATGCCCCTGTTGCATCAGGAGGAACTAGACGCGGGCACCCAAGCAGGGGTTCAAGGGGGGGTCTTTCTGGGTTCCCGTGGAGGTCCTTTCCAGGAGGGGGATGTTTTTGCCGAAATGGATGAGGATGGTGACGAGAGTGGGGCGGAGGAAGAGGACTGGGTGGTGATGAAAGACAAGCCCAAGTATGATGAGATCTTCTACAACCTCTCACCCATAGAAGGAAAGCTGAGCGGCAGCAAGGCCAAGGACTGGATGGTGAGCACCCGCCTGCCCAACTCCGTGCTTGGCCGCATCTGGAGGCTGTCGGACGTGGACCGGGACGGCATGCTGGATGCTGATGAGTTTGCCCTGGCCAGCCATCTCATTGAGGTCAAACTAGAGGGGCATGGGCTGCCCCAGGAACTGCCTGCTCGCCTAGTGCCCCCATCCAAACGGCGGCACAGAGGCTCAGATGCATAGGCAGCATCTGTGGTCATTATTTCTTTGCCTTTCTCCCCCTTTTGCCTGTCCTGTCACACTCCTTTTTCCTTCATGTCCTCACAAACCACCCAGAAGCCTGTAGCGTGTAACCTTTGTACCTGTTATACAAGTATGGGTTCACCATTGACTAAAATATTCTGTTTTGCATTCCCAAAGAATTTTGCTGATCTTGCAAACATCTAATGAGTAAGTCACCAAAACGTGTGTCCTGTGATGCTTCTAATGTACTGTTATACTTGCACACTTCTTTAACTTCTGTAATCATCCTAAAACACATCTGGACTCTTCCTTTGCAATAAACTTTACTTTTAAAGTTTATTCTGTAGTGTGGGCTAAATATATTGGTTATTAAGCAAATGAGGATAAAGGTGTAACCCTTTACCGACATCTGGCAATTCTACCTTATTCACATAAATCCCACAATCCCAACCATGTCTGGTTTTGTGTAACCATTTCTTTTAATATGATGCTTGCTTTTTTTAATGAAATTGGATACCTTATACTGCTTTAGAATTACTCAAGGATGTCTACACTTAATTACTAAGTGTTATTGATGCAATCAACATGTTTTTCAAGAATATTCCAGCAAACAAATGACTGTGATCTCATCAATATTCAATAAAGTATGAATACTTTAATACTCCAAAAGAATGTGGAGAGTAAACTTCCGTTTCAGGGACGGAGATTAAATGTACCTGAAAATTTGTACATTTTAATTCAATGAATATTTAACTACTGGCTGTTTTAAATCGTAGATATAAAACTAATAGACCTTGAATACATTTCATTTTTATCCAAAACCCTTTGCAGCTTTACTCGTTTCATACAGTCTGATGTCTTTCTATGCCAGGACCCGTCCCTAATTATCTATTTATAAAACTATAACATGCCGTCGCTTAATTTAGTTATACTACTCAGAAACCATGAGAGGCTCTAGGTGTGAATATTTATATGTTTTGAGGGTCCCTGGGGACTGGCCTGAGAAACGGTATTGAGTAAATAAAAGAAACCTAAGGTCTTATGTTGTTGATTAGGTAATATGTAAATCGTTATACAAAGTAGTGACAGTAAAATAACCCAGCTTGTGGTCTGTTTTGTGCTGTGTTGTCACTGTACTGATAGTCACGTTCGCAGATAAATAATCTTTCATTTTATATTAAAAGGAGCTTTTCATGAAGCAAAGAATTTAAAATTTTTGTTAGATGTTTGCCTACAGTTTGAATAATTTAACAACAAAATTAGATACATGCAGGACAAGCAGGGAAGGAAGATGGATGGATGGATACATTTGTTTGTACTTTTTCTTTGTGTGCATCCTCAGCTTCTTTGCAGGAATGTTCATATAGAAATGTAGTGTTTAGGAAATGTCGTTGCTCTTCTTGATAAGAACATAGTGTTCTCCCTTGCCCCCTCCATCAGCTAAGTTGAGGCTTTAGGGTAGAAATCAATCCTGCAATGCTCCAGCACAAAGTCACAGGGGGAGCCTGGAGCCTGTCCCAGCCAGGGGAACCAGCCAGGGGAACACCCTAGACAGGATGTATTTTGCATCAGAAAAATATTTCATGGCTATCAAGTGACATATGAAATATGAATGAACTGAGGAAGCTTCACCTGTTCACAGATGGCCAGTACAAAAGCTGAGGATAAGTGTAGCATGAATACATTCAAAACTTTATGTACAGAGCGTTTGTGATAGAATGGATAAGACAAGACAAGACACGTGGCAACCTTTTGAAGACACAAAGGCAGAAAAAAAGAAATTCACTGGAGCCAAATAAGACTGCAAGAGCTTGACAAAGCAGCACTACAGAGAAGCCAACAGGGCAGTCAAAGGAGTGACAAGGGCAGATGTACATGGAAAGCGTTGCCAACCAGCAAAGGAGATCAAGGGAAAGTCTTCTAGATCACGAGAATGATCTGTAGAGAACCTCATGCAACATACACCCTTATTACGGACAAGCAAGGCAGACTACACGCAATAGAGAAAGAGCAGGAAGCGCGTTGGGCTGAGCAGCTCAAAGAAGTCGAACGGATTAGCACCAACAAGCGGAACAGACATCTAAGAAGTAGAGACGGAAAGAACTAATAGGAAACCATCATGATTTCTTAAGAACTGAAAAGCTCCTAGATGTGGCAACCTGGATGTAGATGTTCCATGTTAGCTAAGATCCTCCGACCACTGCTTACATCGAGAAAATACCAGGCTGGGAGCATTAACCAGCTGTAAGAGGAGAGGGTGTGTTTGTCAGGTCGTTACTCTACATAACCTCATAGAGCTAAGCATGGAGTGGCAGAGACGATTATGCATCAGCTTTATTGATTTTGAGAAAGGCCATGGCAACCTCTGATGTATACTGAGAGCCTACAATATATCGCAGCAGGTAGCGCTCACCTTCAAGAGCTTCTATGACAACTTCACCTGCAAGGTGGGCAATGGTCAATACAGCTTCCAGGTCAAGCCCAGTGTGAGCCAGGGATGCATAATGTCAGCATTTGGTTTCTTACCTGGTCATTGACTGGGTAATGTGAGGCACACAGACGACCAAACCAGCAGCATCACATTGACCTTCTTCATTATGCTGAAGGAACTCGACTATGCGGGTGACACACACCAGCACATGTAGGGAAAGATGTCCCAAAGATCTGAAGATCATCCATCCATCCATTGTCCAACCCGCTTATCCTACTGGGTCACGGGGGGTCCGGAGCCTATCCCGGAAGCAAAGGGCACGAGGCAGGGAACAACCCTGGATGGGGGGCCAGCCCATCGCAGGGCACATTCACACACCATTCACTCACACATGCACACCTAAGGGCAATTTTGCAACTCCAATTAGCCTCAGCATGTCTTTGTACTGTGGGGGGAAACCGGAGCACCCGGAGGAAACCCCACGACGACACGGGGAGAACATGCAAACGATCTGAAGATCAGCACGAAGAAATCAGGTGACATGCCACTCAGGATAACCCTTCACCAGACGAGGTGGATGGCAAAGCCCTGACCATGAGCGAAGAGGTCGCCTACTTAGGCAATACTCTCAGACCTGATGGAAGAACAAACAGCGACATCAAGAGCAGGTCGAACATTTGTTGGCTTTTGGTCCCTTTAATGGCTGTTCTTAATTTGCGTTCATTTTCAATTTATTCCAATGTTTATCTATTTAATTTACTTATTTTCCTCTCCTTCTTACTTTGTACAGCACTTTGGTCCAACGTGGGTTGATTTTAAATGTGTTATCTAAACAACCCAGGAGGTGTACAGTAAGATTGCTATTCTTGGACTCGGTACCCAATAATAGGGTTTATTGTTATTTATAATAGTCCCAGTCCAATCAAAACCATTGATTGGAAAATAAGCTGCCTCAATAATGTTGATGAAGTTTGCAAAAGTAAGTAAGTAAGTAATTGTACAAAGTGTTGCAAAATTTCTGGTCATCTGAGACCCTAAAGAGCCAACAGAGTGATGCTCCCACCCAAAATCATCTGTACAGCTATGGAAGAGGAAGGCGACATCTTCTCAGCAGGGACTAGGAAGCTTCTCAAAGCTTACAGAAAATTGGATAGATCATGTAACAGGAAATAACAGAGAAATCCCGTTTCAGTCTCCTGCACACTTAAAATCATGGTGAAAATGTATGTTTTAATAGAACAGTAATGCAAAGCCACAAGCTGAAGTTGTACTAGAATTGCAACAAAATTAAACCGAGTATGTCCTTGAGATGGCCCAGAAAAACTTCCTAACTTGAATACTTGCTATGAAATGAATGGAAAAATTTTAACCTTTTTTTACAGTATTACAAAACATGTTCAGGTATGTATGTCTAAATTCCAGCTATTTTGCAAACAGATGAATGAAATCGGTTAACTAAGCCCTATAAGCACATGCAATCTGGCACCCATAAGCACTATAACATTTGGTCTCTAGGTTACCAGCCTGAAAAACAATGAGTCACTTTCCCTGATGCCAAAGCGCACACTTTCATTTTCCATTCTCCCCTGCTATCAGGCTTTTACACTTGCACAAACTTGTTCTCTGCACCCCCTTTTCCTGAAATAAACTAATAGACCAGAAAACTCTTATAGATATAGAACACTTGGGTGTTTTTGTCTTTATGTCATCTAAATTAGTGGGAGAAAATCTGAAATTCTGTGTCGTACTGTAAGTCCACTGTCAAGAATTTGACAGGCTAGACTGAGAATTTGTATCTTTTTCTCAGACTGCCTGTGAATTAATTTTTTGTTATACATTTTGGTTGCACCTTCGTAACTTCTCCACCCCTATAGCTGTGACACTATCCAGCAGGTACAAAAAAAAATATGATTTTGGCCTGTAATTCTGCTTGATTACTTCCAGCAAAATTCCAGTGGGAGTGTAACTGAATTATGCGGTATAAAGGGACAGCTGGCTCATGCTGGATACAAAACCAGTTGCCTTGCCAGTGGTGCACTCCCAGTTAGCAGTGTGTACAAGGTTTATAAGTTAAATCCAGTTGCTTATGGTTGCACCCAAAGGAAATTCACAATAGCTCACGTGATTATACACAGGATCCCTAACTTGCTCTTGCTCGTCTTTTTTTCCAACAAGGTCAGACATGTACATGTCAAGAAAGGCGTACGTCGCTACAATAGAAAAGAATAAGTGAAGCCAAATTTTTAACAACGAGTTAACAACAAGCAAATGAACAAACGAACACAACCGGCCAGGCAAGACGGCTGATATACATACGATCTACTAGGAGAAACATCAATCACAGGTACAGCTAAATAAACAGAACCATATGTATCATGCATATAAACACTTGAAAGAATTTAACAAAGTCACATATAAACAAAATAAAAGGTTAGGTTCTTCTACTTTGACACAACTTATAAAATAAGATGTATTCTGTTGTGCAAAATATATCAGCGCCACCTGGTGGAGATTTAATTTTATAGATTTTTTTCTCCCCATTTAATAACTAAATAAAAAAACTTTTTTTTTTCAGTGTAATGGATAAATCAAATATGGGTCACGCATACAACGAGCAAAAACACATTAGAATCACCATAAATTCACAGAGACGCATACTGTAAATCACACGACGTATCTATTATGAAATAGAAATTTAGTGAGGAAACCATTCGCTTTCTTTCTATGGGGGTGACTGCGAAGTTCCACTTTATATTATGCTTAGCAGTCTATCTTATTTTTAAATTCTGCGTTTAATTTTAAATAAATTTGTTTTAATATATTTGATACACCAAATGGCTACATATTTTTGGCGCTTTAACGATATTTATCGAGCGTTCATTAAAATACACCCCCACACATATTTTGC